TCAAAAGGCTAGACTCACCTTTGCTGAGGAGCATGTTGTGTGGAGAGAGGAGAACTGCTCCAAAGTTCACTTCAGTGATGAGAGCAAGTTTAATTTCTTTGGGTCCTCAGGGTCCTGATCTAAAACCCAATTAGCCCTATTGCTTACCCCCATTCAAGTGTTAATAAAAAAAAATGCATGAAGCTAGAATAAAATTTTTTAAAGCAGAGGCTCTGTTCTTTCTTTTGACATATTGCATGCTCAGATATTCATACAACAAAATATTCTGGGGGCCATAAAAAAATTGTGTATGATGAAAAATGTGGCAGTGGCTGGCAACTTTTTTTAAAAACACTGGCAGGGAATGAGTTAAGCAGTATCTATATCTATCTTCAAGTGGCGTTTTTTACGTTGTAGTGCAGAGAGCACAGTTTGGATCCAGTCCTCTGCTCTGTTGGTTCAGTGTTGGCGTTTCTTTGCAGGTGCAATCCAGGTATATGTAGCTGCTGAGCGTGTGCCTGTTGATGATGTTTCTTTGGGAAAATGTTCTCTTGTTTCCCGTTTTACACGTGGAGCGAGACATACCTGTTTCTTCTTGAGATGTATCTGTGGTTTTGGATTAACGGATTCTCCGTCCCAGCCGTTGGGGTCTGTCTCAGAGGAGTTTCTGACTTTTAAAACAGTTTTGTAATTGGCTGTCTTCTTTCAAGAGGATTGGAGATTTGCAGGCCTAGTCAGTGAGCTCTTCCAGCAGAGGCGTCGTGCCTGTATGCATTGCTTACAAAGAGCTGAATCGCCGATCACACAGATTGCATTAAAAAAATTATTAGGACACGGTGGAAAGGAATAAACCTCCACAAATTTGCGACGTGTTTTCTAAACGTTTAAACTGTTTTAACTTTGTGTGAGTTCATACAGCATCAGCAGTCATAGTCAGAGGCGTCATGCCCATTCAAATTGAGGGGGCACGTGCCCCCTCAGATTTGAGCCAAGTGGATTTTGAATGCAGCTTCCAAAAGACAAAAATAGCCGAGTAATATATATTTTTTTAAATAATTCATAGTCGCACTGGCGTTATTAGAACATGCAGTGCGGCACACCATCGGCTGCTAAATTCAAATCTGCGTTCACTGGCTGGCGCTGGAGCCAGAGACAGACGCGTTTTTACAGCTGCACATTGTAACAAATCACACACGATTCTGTTGAGCTTATGAATGCAATGACCAATCAGAGGCGTACAGATGAGTCATCGCGGACATGTTTTTTCAGTGGGTGCGTTCGCTGAAGGAATTCTGCTCTCTGATGATTCTCTCATCAGATTGAATGCAGCTTCCAAAAGACAAAAATAGGCGAATAATATTTTTTTATATTTCATACAATCACACTGGTGTTATTAGAACGTGCAGTGCGGCACAACATCGGCTGCTAAATTCAAATCAGCGTTCGCGCTTTGGCTGGCGCTGAGCCAGAGACAGACGCGTTTTTACAGCTGCACATTGTAACAAATCACACACGATTCTGTTGAGCTTATGAATGCAATGACCAATCAGAGGCGTACAGATGAGTCATCGCGGACATGTTTTTTCAGTGGGTGCGTTCGCTGAAGCAATTCTGCTCTCTGATGATTCTCTCATCAGAAACAACAAAGTGCAGTTGTACATACGATGCAAGTAGGATATTTATTTCACAGTGTAAACAGCTTCAGTCATTATAATGAGAGTTTTTTGAAAGTGCTTAAAATGTTCTTTGATAATGTCAATGTTCTTTGGTTTCTGTACAATGAAAGTGTTATAATTAGTAAATTACATTGTTTCTATTAAATTCACATTAAATACAAAGTCAGTCTTATTAAAAATATTTTATGGCATGACACCCATATCTGGTATAAGTAAAAAAGGTTTTAATGCATAGTTAATAGATTACACTATTAGGCTACTTTGCCCATCGCCCTTTATCAACTAACATAATATATAAAGGTGCAAAATGCATCTACTTGCACATATTTGAGAAACGAGATATTTCATGTTATAGTTAACACGTTTGGGAATATTTCGAATAAAGGGGAAAAATAAGTAAAACATAAGCCTATATCAGTTATAATTATATACACTTATATACATTATTACATATTATATATATATATATATATATATATATACACACACACTACTGCTCAAAAGTTAGGGATCAATAAGATTTGTAATGTTTTTTAAAGAAGTCTCTTATGCTCATCAAGGCTGCATTTATTTGATCAAAAATACAGAAAAAAAAACAGAAATCTTGCAAAATGTTATTACAATATAAAATAATGGTTTATATTTTAATACACTTTAATGTATAATTTATTTCTGTGATGTAAAGCTGAATTTTCAGCATCATTACTCCAGTCTTCAGTGTCACATGATCC